CTCGCGCTCCGCCTGGTGGCCGCGCGCGTCCTCCAGCGCCAGGGCCAGGCTCTCCCGCCGGCGCGCCAGGGAGGCGTCCTGCCTCGACGACGACGGCGGCGGCGGCGGCGACGACGACGACGACGACGACGGCGACGACGACGACGACGACGACGACCACGACGACGACGACGACGGCGGCGGCGGCGGCGGCGGCGGCGGCGACGACGACGACGACCGGCGGGACGACGACGACGACGACGACGACGACGACGACAGCGGCGGCGCGGCGGCGGCGGCGGCGGCCGCGTCCTTCCTCGACGACGACGGCGACGACGACGACGACGACGGCGACGGCGACGACGGCGACGACGACGACGACGACGACGACGACGGCGGCGACGACGACGACGACGACGACGACGACGACGACGACGACGACGACGACGACGACGACGACGGCGGCGGCGGCGGCGGCGGCGGCGGCGGCGACGACGACGACGACGACGGCGAGGGGGACGAGGGGGGAGGGAGGAGCGAAGGGGCGACGCACCCGCGCAGCCCTGCGGGACTGGGCTCGAGCTGAGCAGTGCTTTCCGTCTTCGTCTCGCTCCCGCTTCCGCTCGCGCTGTCGTCGTGCTGACGCTGCTGCAGGACGAGGTCGAAACGAGAACGGTCCACGAGATCGCCAGAAACACGGGTCAACTCGAGCCCTGGGGACAGCAGCGGGCCGAGGCGGGGTGGGGAACTCTGGGGCCCTCGGGGGACGAGCAGCAGCATCAACATGGTAAGCGCTCGAGGCTCCGCGCGGCAAGAGCATGGCGTGTTGACGCGGCTGTCCGGTTCGAGACTCGGCTGCTCTGGAGGATGCATCGGGCGCCGCGGCTGTTCTGGAGCGCTCTGGAACGCCCTGAGAGCGCCCTGGAACGCTGTACCCGTTGGTCGGAAGAAGTGGGTAGAGACATGAAGGAGGAAGGCGGATCAAGCTAATTAGCTTGGGTCCAGGCCCTCCCAGAGAACAACAGAGCGCAGCAAAAGCACATCGACTCTGGAAGTGGGAAGGCGCTTGACGTAGAATGGGATCTGTTGAGCACGGACCGACCGTCCTGGCATTTCTATGGGCATACCACAAAATTTTCTTAGAACCCCAAAACGTTCTCAGAACAGGAGCAGTGTTCTTAGAACATAAACCCTATGTAATAAAACAAGGCCGTCCCGACCCCCCATCGCCCATGGGTCGCCGATTGGGGCCCGATTCGGGCACCAATCGGCGACCGATGGGCGATGCGGGGTCGATACGTTTCCCCCTGAGCATGTCCCCCCCCGTCTTTGGTTTTCGGATTCTGTCTCGGGTCTTCGACGGCCGTTCGGGACGATCCAGGCAGCCCAGGAACGCCCTCGGCGAGGCGTGGCTGCTGGAAGCCACCTCGAGGCTGGAAGGACCGCCGAGGGAAAGGCAAAAGCATGCGAGAACCTCGAGCCTCGAACCTCGAGCCGATGCCTCTCCCGCAGCGCCCTCGTCTTCTCGATGGCCTGCTCGCGCTGCTGGACCTTATGAGCATCGTTCAACCGATCACTATTCGGCTACACGCAATGAAGTGACCCTGGGTACGAGTGACCTTCGGTGTGCGGCTTTTTTGGGGCCGCAGGGGGAACCAAACACAAACGAGCAAGACGCCACTGCCGCATCGCTTCTGGTGATCGGGGGAACCCGTTGGGCCCGCACCAAAGGTCACTCCGGCGAAAGGTCACTCTTACGTGTAGTCGACCCATCCTCACTGGCGTGGCCTTGGTCCCACTGGCTGGCTTACCGCCCCAGATGGAGATACGTGCTCCGTTCGGGCTTCGCAAGGCATATCCCCAACTGGGGGAGTGGGATGGTGGCGCTGAGATACCAAGGCCCAATGGGGCTTGGTCCCACCGGCCGGCTTACCCCCCTAGATGGGGAGAAACGCTGCTCCCTTCGGGCTTCGCAGGGAGTATCCCCACCCTGGGGGAGTGGGATAGTGGGGCTGAGACACTACGGCCCAATGGGGATGGGGATCAGGTAGACGATACTGAAGGGGCCCTGGGGCACACAAATAAATACACACAATTATCCCAGTGCAGGAGTTGGAGCCCCTAGGAAAGCAGCATTAGTACGAACAGTAAAGCTAAAGCTAAGCTAAAGCTAAATTAACACTACACTAAAGCTGAGCTAAAGCTAAGCTAAAGCTAAGCTAAAGCTAAGCTAAGCTAAGCTCAAGGTAAGCTAAAGCTAAGGTGAAGCTAAGCTAAAGCTAAGCTAAATCTAAGCTAAGGCTAAGCTAAGGCTAAGCTACCGCTAAGCTAAACCTGAGCTAAAGCTAAGGTGCAGATAAGCTAAAGCTAAGCTAAAGCTACGGTAAAGGCTAAGCTAAGGCTAAGCTAAAGCTAAGCTAAAAATACGGTAAAGGCTAAGCTAAAGCTAAGCTAAAACTAAGCTAAAGCTAAGCTAAAGCAAAGCCAAAGCTAAGGTGCAGATAAGCTAAAGCTAAGCTAAAGCTACGGTAAAGGCTAAGCTAAGGCTAAGCTAAAGCTAAGGTACAGCTAAGCTAAAGCTAAGCTAAAGCTAAGCTGAAGCTAAGCTGAAGCCAAGCTAAATCTAAGCTGGAGCTAAGCTAAAGCTAAGCTAAATCTAAAGCTAAAGCTAAGCTAAAACTAAGCTAAAGCTAAGGTGCCGCTAAGCTAAAGCCAAGCTAAAGCTAAGCTAAAGCTAAGCTAGCGCTAAGCTGAAGCTAAGCTAAAGCTAAGCTAAAGCTAAGCTGAAGCTAAGCTGAAGCTAAGCTGAAGCTAAGCTACAGCTAAGCTAAAGCTAAGCTAAAGCTAAAGCTAAAGCTAAAGCTCTCAGGGGACTGGGGGAACCGCTCCCAGGGGACTGGGGGAACCGCCCGGGGCGCTTTACACTGCCCGGCCCTTTAAGCTAAGAGAGTAAGACCCCTTCTAGGCAGAGCCTATGTAGGGAAATAAACAGATCCCCTATATTTTCCTATATGTTCTGGGTTTTTGTCTTCACCCCACTTCCCATATTTTCCTATATTTTCTGGGAAATCGACGATTAATTGTGTCTGTGTGTTTCTTTCCCTCCTGAGATACTGGCCTTGTCGGCCATGGCGCGCAGGTGGCACTGCAGCTCGAAGGCTTGGCCTGAGGCGTCGCCGGCCGCACCCAGCCGCCGCGCCAAGTCGAGCGCGTGCCGCTCCGTGGTCCGCAGCTTGTCCTGGGGCAGAGGAGGACAAGTTCTGGCGAATCACGGGAGCCTCTCATGTCATCCGGCTGGGTCTTGCGAATCGGCGCGAACCGACGCGAACCGACGCCAGTCGAGGCTAAATCGGCGCTGGCCGACGCTTTCCCATCGACTACCACACGCTACTAGCGCACGCTCATGCACTACGAGGTCGGAATGATCCGAGGCATCCAGGGCTCCCACGAATTGCCGCCGGAAAAGGACAGACCCGTGAGCCCGTCTCACGACCCGCTCGCGCGAACCTCAGGTCTCGCCCGAGACATCCTCACGACTCGCTCTGAAGCCGGCCGCGGCGCGCAGGTGTCGGGAGCGGCCAAGAGGGGCGTGTCCAAGAGGGGGGGGTGCAAATCATGACCGTCGGCATGTGCGCGGCCCAGCGGGGGGGCCAGGGACGCAATGGAATAAGAAGAGGCGCCACGAGAACTGGGGAGATATCATGGCCCCCGCCAGGATAATTATCCACCCCCCCCTGGTCATCACCCCCCTCTTTGCCGCTCCGCGGGCGAGTGCATGCGGGCAACGCCAGGGTTGCTCATGAGGGTGAGGAGGAGGAGGAGGAGGAGGAGGAGGAGGAGGAGGAGGAGGAGGAGGAGGGGAAGGGGGAGGAGGAGGAGGAGGAGGAGGATATCCCCCCCCCCCTAGTCATCACCCCCCCTCTTTTCCGCCCCCGAGACTCGCTCCGAAGCCGGCCGCGGCGCGCAGAAGGTCGCCCCGGGGAGGACCGCCCCCGGGCCGAGGCGGAGCGCGCCGAGGCGCACGGTTAGCCTCTCGGCCGGGAGGCGCACGCCCGGGCCGCACAGAGACAGAACAGGCGCGCGCGGTGCCCCGGCGCCCGCCCTGCCACGGCGAGCCTTCGGGGGCGGCCAAGAGGAGGGGGGCGTCCAAGAGAGGGGGGGGGTGCAGATCATTGAAGGGGCCCCCCAGGACACACAAAGGAATGCACACGAATAAGAAGATCCCCCGTATTTTCCCATATTTTCTGGGTTTTTGTCTTCCCCCCCAACTTCCCAGCATATTTTCGCATATTTTCCGGGGGATCGACGATTGATTGTGTCTGTGTGTTTCTTTCCCTCTTGAATCATGGCCGGCGGCATGTGCGCGGCCCTTGGGGGGGGGGCCAGGGACGTCATGAACTGAGGAGAGGCGCCCTGAAGTCTGGGGAAATACATCGTGGCCCCCGCCGTGGTCTCCCCCCCCACAACCATCACCACCCCTCCTTGCCGCCCCCGAAGCCTCAGCCACGAGCCTCGGCCCCGAGGAAGGGCCCAGGAGCCGGAGCCCCCTCGCGAGCCCACGGGGCTCCAAGGCTCCGGCGCACAGTGCCCGTGGCACTGCGCGCCCCCCAGGGGCGGCGAGCGCACTCGTCCCCGGGGCGGACACGGAAGACAAGAGCGCAGGCACGCCTCGGCCGTGCCTCGTGGCACGAGCGGCATGGCCAGAAGGCGCCCGCCACCCAGCCTGTGCCACGAGAATCCTGCACGCGCACGTGGCCCCTGCGGGGTCGAGGCACACACACACACAGTGCGCACACACGCCGACACGTGCTGCCCGTGTGAGACGCTTTCCCGGTGACGTCGCCGTCGTCGTCTGCGCACGAGTTTCCTGAAGGGCTCTTGTGTTGCAGCTCGAGCGGGGCCCGGGTCTGGACCTCCGAGAGGCCTCAGAAGACCAGTGCCCCACGTGCAAGCCTCCCCGTGGACTCCACCGAGCACCCGCGCTGGCACCTGCAGCTCGGGCAGCGCCCAGCAATGCCGCCCCAGCACGAGGTTGCGCTGACGGCCTGGCCGCTCGACTGCGAGCGCGGTGCCAGGAGGAGGAGGAGGAGGAGGAGGAGGAGGAGGAGGAGGAGGAGGAGGAGGAGGAGGAGGAGGAGGAGGAGGAGGAGGAAGGAGGAGGAGGAGGAGGAGGAGGAGGAGGAGGAGGAGGAGGAGGAGGATTGAGGAGGAGGAGGATTGAGGAGGAGGGATTGAGGAGGAGGAGAAGGAGGAGGAGGAGGAGGAGGAGGAGGAGGAGGAGGAGGAGGAGCATTGAGGAGGGGGAGGGCGGAGGAGGAGGAGGAGGAGGCGAGGAGGAGGAGGAGGAGGAGGAGGAGGAGGAGGAGGAGGAGGAGGAGAGGAGGAGGAGGGGGAGGAGGGAGGAGGAGGAGGAGGAGGAGGAGGAGGAGGAGGAGGAGGAGGAGGAGGAGGAGGAGGAGGAGGAGGAGGATAGAGGACGGGTCGCCCAGACCGGAGCGGGCTGCTGCAGCCGCGGAGGCGCCACTCAAGCAGCAGCAGCAGGGGCAGCGCGAACGCGAGCCGAGGACGGAGCCCCGCCGGGCAAGAGGCACAGGGCCGCGGCCGTCGGCGCGTCCGGCCAGGAGCTCCTGCGGCAGCTCGAGTCGGGCTTGCACGCCAGGGCTCGAAGAATCGGGTCGCCCGCTGCTTCCCCAGCGACGCGCCCCTCGCCGCGAAGCTGGTGGCCGTTCAGAAGCAGTGCGGCCCGCGAGTCAAGGAGATGGGAAGCGGCCGCACGCTCGGAAGCCCGCGCTTGCACCTGTTTGGCAGCATCCTGACAGATATCGATAGCCACTTCGAGAACAGCGCCTCCCAAGACATCCTGGGTTACCGCTACCTGGCCGACAGGTTGAAGCTCCACGTAATGTCTAAAAACGGTTTGGCAAATATTTGGGGGAAACAAGTTAAAACATGATTTCCCCTCGCGCTGTAGTGCGCCTATAGAAAACAAAAAGGAAGCGGGACAAACTGGATCGCTGGAAACGCCCTCGCGACCGCCATGGCGCCCTGCGCGCAGGGGCAGATTCCTGCGCACCCCCTCTTGGCGACAGGCCACGCATGCCACGCCCTGCGACCCCAGCGTGGATAGAGACTGCGCTCAGGGACCACACCCTGCGCGCCGCGCGCCCTGTCTGGGTTGCGAAGCGGCGCTGGATACGCAAATTCGGCATGCCGCTGATAGATATGATGCAACGGGGGCAATGTTTAACTCCCAAACCCAATGGCGAAAACACAATGTAAAAATCATTCTCTGATCGGGAGATGGGAACATCCCAGTGGATATACGACAGTGAATGCAAAAATGCCAAGCGCCCAACGCGCGCGCGGCGGCGGCATGCCGCTGATAGATTTCTGTGCAACGGAAAGGAATTTCGCGCGCGCCTCGGCGGCGTGCCGCCGTTAAGTTTTACGCAACGGGGCGAATTTTGATCTCCAATACCCAATGGCGAAAACCCAATGTAAAAATTCATTCTCTGATCGAAAGACGGAAACATCACCATGTGGATATACGGCGCTGAATGCAGAACTGTCAATCGCCAAGGGGCGCGCGCGCGGCGGCGGCATGCCGCTGATAGGTTTTATACGGCGGGAGCAATGTTGCACTCCAAAACCCAATGGCGAAAACCCCATGTAACAAATCATTCCCTGATCAGAGGACGGGGGCATCCCCGCGTGGATTTGCGACACTGAATGCGCGCGTGCCAATCGCCAACGCGCGCGCCGCGGCGGCGTGCCGCAGATAGGTTTCTATTCGACGGGAGCCATGTGTAACTCCAAAACCCAATCGCGGAAACCCAATGTAAACATTCATTCTCTGATCGGAAGACGGGGGCACCCCCATGTGGATATGCGACGCTGAACGCGCAAATGGCCATCGCCAACGCGCGCGCGCGCGCGCGCGCGCGGCGCGGCATGCCGCCGATAGATTTGACGCAACGGGAACGATGTTGCACGCCAATACCCCGTTCTCTGATCGGAAGACGGGAACATCCCACTGTGGATGCGCGGCGCTGAATGCAGGCGCGCGCGGCGGCGGCATGCCGCTGATAGGTTTCTACGCAACGGGGGCCGTGTTGATCTCCAAAACCCAATGGCGGCAACCCGATGTAAAAATCCACTCTCTGATCGGAAGACGGGGACATCCCCGCGTGCATATGCAACGCTGAATGCGCAAATTCCGATCGCCAACGCGCGCGCGCGCGCGCGCGCGCGGCGGCGGCGGGCCGCTGATGGATTTTATGCAACGGGAGCGAGGTTGAACTTCAAAATCCAATGGCGAAGCCCAATGTAAAAAAGTCATTCTCTGATCGGATAACGGGAACATCCCCGCGTGTATATGCGACGCCGAATGCAAACGTGCCGAGCGCCAGCGCGCGGCGGCGGCATGCCGCTGATGGATTTTATACAGCGGGGCGAAAGTTCGCGCGCGCGGCGGCGGCATGCCGCTGATCGATTGTATCCATCGGGGTGATCTCCCAAAGCCAGTGGCGAAAACCCAATGCAACAAGTCATCCTCTGATCGGAAGACGAGGGCGTCCCCGCGTGGATATGCGACACTGAATGCAAACCTGCCAAACGTTAACGAGCGCGCGCGCGGCGGCGGCATGCCGCTGACAGATTTGGTGCGACGGGATCGATGTTGCACTCCACAACCCAATGGCGAAAACCGGATGGGGAAAATCATATCATGGTCGGAAGACGGGGGCATCCCAATGTTGATATTCGACGCTGAATGCAAAATTGCCAAGCGCGCGGCGGCGGCGCGCCGCTGATAGATTTGATGCAATGAGGGCGCGGTTGAACTTCACAACCCAACGGCAAAAACACCCACTGCCAAAATTCAATCTCTGATCGGAAGACGGGGACATCCCCATGTGGACATACGACACTGAATGTGCGCATGCCACTCGCCAACGCGCGCGCGCGCGCGCGCGCGCCGGCGGCGGCGGCGGCGGCGGCGGCGTGGCTGATAGGTTTCTATGGAACGGGAGCCAGGTTCAACTCCCAAACCCAATGGCGAAAACCCGATGTAATAAATCATTCCCTGGTCGGAAGATGGGGACATCCCAATGTGGATATTCGACGCTGGATGCAAAACTGCCAAGCGCGCGGTGGCGGCGCGCCGCTGATAGATTTGATGCAATGAGGGCGCTGTTGAACTTCAAAACCGAACGGCCAAAAACCCAATGCAAAAATGCATTTTCTGATCGGAAGACGGGAACGCCCCCAGTGGATATGTGGCACTGAATGCGCGAATGCCACTCGCCAACGCGCGCGCGCCGCGCGCGCGCGCGCGCGCGCGCGCGCGCGCGCGCGGCATGCCGCTGATAGATTTCTATGCAACGGGGGCCATGTTTAACTCCCAAACCCAACGGCAAAAACCCGATGTAAACAATCATTCTCTGATCGGAGGGAACACTCCCGTATGGCTACGCGACACTACATGCGCATGTGCCAATCGCCAGCGCGCGCGGCGGCGGCATGCCGCTGATAGGTGTTGTGCAACGAGAGCGAGGTTGAACTCCAAAATCCAATGGCGAAAACCCAATGTAAAAAAATATTCTCTGATCGGGAGACGGGGACATCCCCGTGTGGATATGCGACGCTGAATGCACAAATGCAAATTTCCAACGCGCGCGCGTGCCCGGCGGCGGCATACCGCTGATAGATTTTATACCACGGGGGCAATGTTGAATTCCTAAACCCAATCGCGATAACCCAATGTAAAATTCATTTTTGGATGGGAAGACGGGAACATCCCCATCGGAATTCTCCCTGGTACCGAGGTATATACAAGTGGCATCGATCGGCATCCATGGAAATGTTCTAGGGGGTACGGATAAAATAAATATTTATTCGGATGCGAATTAATGGCGAGCGGGATCCGGGGGGGGGAGGGGGGGGGGTCATCATTGTTTAACCGGTTTAAGACAGTAGAGGTAAGCAAGGACCCGATTATGGTGGAGGAAAGGTGCAAGGTTTGTGGCTTCAGCAAAACCTACGACGGCAAGAAGACGAGGGTGACGATAGACCTACGCGGCCAGATCGTGGTGGCACAGACCGCGGGCGCGGCCAAGGATCTACAGCAGAAGGCAAAGGACGCGGCCGATCCCAACGAGATTCACACGCACCACCTCGAGGTCGGAGTCCGCCTCACGCTTTCGCGACCATCATCAGGGGAATGGGCGCCGAGGGGAAGCAGGGGCAGGCTCCGAAGGGCAAGCGGGTCAGGAAGGTGGGCGGCAAGAAGCAGCAGACCGTGTGAGTCCTCTCGCAGCGCCCGCGGAAAACGTTCACCCTCTCGAGGACTGCGAGGCCCAGGAAGAGGCCGCACAGCTGTTTGGTTTCTAGAGGCTCTCCTCGGAGGAACTTTCGGGAGGCTGTGGTGTGATTCGCGTGTCTTCCGACGTGGCCCAGGCGACCAGGACAGCTTTCATGTTGCCGAGTAGGTGTTGAAAAAGTCGTCGTCGTCGTCGTCGTCGTCGTCCGTGTCCTCCTCTTCGCTGTCAGTCCTCAACCCAAAGAGACTATGGAACAAGGAAGTTGAAGAACGTCGTAGCTAAGTCGAAGGGAAGCCCAGCCCCCTCCCGTTGATCCCTTCCCTGCCGGATGTGGGAAGGGGTCCAGGGAGGAGGTCCTGGGGGGGTTCCCGGTGGGGGGCGTCCGGGGGGGGGGGGGATACGGGGGGGTCCTGGGTGAGAATACCATCCCCCCCCACGGGGTCCCGGAGCCCCAAAAAGGCCCAAGACGGGACAAGGGGGCCGCAAGACGCCGCCAAGACGGTCCAAGAGTCCAAGAGGGCCCCGAATCGCCAAACGGTCGGTCCAAGACGCCCAGGATAGCCTCCAGACAGCCCAGGATCGGGGGCGCGCAAACATGGATTCGCGGCGATCCACGGATCTGGCGTGCGGTCGCCGAATCCATGGATCGGGGGAGGTGCCCTCCCCGCAAGGCGGCCGGTGCCGCCCCGTTCGGCGGCGGAGATCCGCGATTTCCCACGGAAGCGGGGCCCGTCGCTCATCCGCGCCCCCCTTGATGCATGCTCGCGATCGCCTGACAGGGGGGGGGGCACTGGGGGGAGGAGGAGGAGGATTGACGAGGAGGAGGAGGAGGAGGAGGGAGGAGGAGGAGGAGGAGGAGGAGGAGGAGGAGTAGGAGTGGAGTAGGAGTAGGAGTAGGAGTAGGAGTAGGAGGAGGAGGAGGATGAGGAGGAGGAGGAGGAGGAGGAGGATTGAGGAGGAGGAGGATTGAGGATTGAGGATTGAGGAGGAGGAGGAGGAGGAGGAGGAGGAGGAGGAGGAGGAGGAGGAGGATCCATGTTTGCGAGCGCCTGCAAGAGGCCTCCACGCCTCCGGGGAGGAGGGCACCACGAGGGGAACGCCACTGATGCCCCTTGGGTCTTGGCAGAACGTGGCGTTCTCGCCCTGTCGGCGGACGCTCCAGGACGGCCCAAGGGGCCCCCGATATCGCCCCGAGACGACCCACGAGGACCCCCTAAGACGGCCCCCCAGGAGGCCCAAAGGGGCCCCCAAGAGGCCCCAGGGAGGGCCCCCAAGTTGCCCCCAAGAGGCCGCAACAGAAACTGCCGCCCCCCCAGAGGCCTCCCAGAGCGGAGAGAGCTCCGAAGAGACCCTAAAAAACATCCCTGAGGACGCTGACCCACGTCGGCGTCATCGCTGTCGCCGCCGCCTCCGCCGCCGTCCCCCCTGTGGGTCGGCGGCACTGGCAGCAGGGCCCTCGCAAGATCTTTACGTGGTGCTGCTGTCCTCCAGCAGCTGCTGCTTGTCTGCGGCCTGGGAGGACCAAACAACGCAAACATTAGGTCGGGCATGTTCTCCTACAGGCGGATCGTGGACGAAAAATAAAACATAGTCAAGAAAAACAGAAAATAGTCACAAATAGTGAAAACAAATCGTCCCCTGACTTCTTTTTATTATAAAGAGCTATGTCTGAATCTTCCTCCTGTAGAGGGACAACGCGAACACAACCCGTCGGAGCTCTGCGCAGATTTCTGGGATCGGCGCTGGAAAACCCTATTGGGCGAAGCCTCTGGCGCCGCCCCTGGCGCGCTCCGCGCGCCAGGGAGGGGGGGTCCAGCGCCGATCCGAGAAGTCCGCGCGGAGCTCCGAACGTTGAGAGTTACAGCCGGACCTAAGCAGGACAGACGAACATCCTGCAAGTCGGGGGTCTTCTGACCCGGGTCAATCCAGACCCTGGTCAGTCAGGCCTTGCAGAATCCTGCAGGATCCTGCACCCAGACCTGGGTCAACGCGAAGGACCTTATAAAATCCTGCAGGATCCTGCACCCAAACCCGGGTCAGTGCGACTCTGGCCCTGCAGGATCCTGCAAGATCCGGCGCTCTGGCTGACCCCCCTTTGCATTGACCCCCGTCCCAAGACTCCCGACCAAGAGCATGGTCCCCTCCGCCGGCCAACATGAAGAGCATTCGAGGGTACCCTCCCCCCGCATGCACAAGAACATCCAACAAACACAAAAGAACGTTAGGGTACCCTCCCCGACACGAAGAGCATTTTGAATGAGAACTGCATTGCCTGTGCGCCCTGGCTGAAATACACATCATCGTCATCTCCCTCCTCCCCTCGTCCTCCCGGCGCGCATTTGGCGCGTCGTCACTGTCTGTCTTGTCCCGCGTTTGGCGCCCCCTGTCCGCCAGCTAACGCGTTTGGCGTTGCTCGCACGCTCGCCAAGTGCCTTGCCCACCCGCGTCTTGCGTATGGCTGCTTCGTTCGTTCCCCGAATCGGCCTCGATCCTACACCTCGGTCTAGGTCGGGCGTGCCCCCCTACAGGGGGATTTTTCGAGGAAAAATGCAAAATACCCCAAAATACCCTAAAAAGGTCTCAAAATACTCCAAAAATAATAGTCCCCAGATCTTTGTTTTCCCCACATGCTTCGTGGGGTTCTGGTTTTCTTCCTTGCCGCGCCGCACCCGCGACACTCACACCTCACCTCTCTCTCCTTCTCACACAGCGCAGCAAGCACAGCACAGCAAAGCACAGCACAGCACATGCACAGCAGCGTAAGGGGTGCGTAAGGGCTGGTCTCTCACGGCGGCCGCTATCCGTGACGGTCGTCCAGGGCACAGCAGGCATGGCAGATTCTCGACACCATAGGGGGTGCGCAAGGGGTGGTCTCTTACCGCGGCCGCTATCCGTGACGGTCGTCCAGAGCACAGCAGGCATGGCATATTCTCGACACCATAGGGGGTGCGCACGGGGTGGTCTCTCACCGCGGCCGCTATCCGTGACGGTCGCCCAGGGCACAGCAGGCATGGCATACTCTCGACACCGTAAGGGGGTGCGCAGGGGGTGGTCTCCCACCGCGGCCGCTATCCGTGACGGTCGTCCAGGGCACAGCGGTATTGGCGGGGCAACGGCCACCAACATCATTCTCACATGCTTCACGTCAGCTCTCATCACTCCAGCCATAATATAAGTACGTGGGGTTTCTCGGTAGCGTAATTTTTTGTGTTTTTTTAATGCTTCGTCGAAAACCCCCCTGTAGGGGGGGCAGGCCCGACCCAAACCTCGGCCCGACCGGTCTGCCGCTTTGCCTCCCCCCCCGAGGCCTGGGAGGCGCGGCACGTGGCCGCCTGCTCCTGCAGGCCCTTCACGGTGGCCTGCTGCGCGTCCGCCAGCACGCGGAGGCGCTCCAGGTCCTGCGGGGGCACCGGGAGGCGCCGAGAGCGCCACGCACAGGGCAGTTTTTAATACATGGGCTTAAGAAACATAAGATTTTAAAACATGACTAGTTTATTATGAATAGATTTACGCATGAGCTCCTCGATAGTTTTGATACTAAATCCCTGCATGTTGAATACATGATTCGCACGCAGAGCATATATTAAACATGGCACTGTGCAGTGCGGGCGCGGCCGCAAGAGACCCTCGCAAGAAACCCAACCCTGAGAACCCGTGCGCGAGGTACACCCGAGGGGAAGCCCGGAGCACCCTGAACGCAGCAACCTCCTTCAGCGGCTGCGGAAAGTCACCGCGCAGCGCGAGGAGCGAAGAAACCCGGGACGCCCTGACGAAGAGCATCTGGTTTCTTGATGCGCGCCCCCACTGTACTCCCCGGACCTATCCCGGGGTGTGTTCTGACCAGGATTGCGAAGCGAATCCGGGGGTGGCGACGAGTGCCTCTCCTGGCGTCCGCAACAGGCGAAACCGAGGCAGAAGGAATCAGTGGTGTATATACGGTACTGGTTGCTGTTGCTCCTCTGAGGTCCTTCTGCTGGGACTGTATTCTCTGCAGCGCCAGCATGTTGCGGTCCTTAGGTGGCGACATCCCGACCCTACCCCCACCAACCATCGCTTCTCATGAATCGACGGGAGGCGGGGGTAGGATTCGGTTTCCGCCACGTGTCTTACGAATTCCGAACCCTACGCCCGCCGCCCATCGGGTTGCCTGGATCGTTGATCGGCGAGGGTTGCACCGTCAGACTATGCCCCTATTGACATATGTTCTGGCGGTGGAAGGGTAGGCTTCGGAGTTCGCTGCCGAAAACCTCCTGCGCGGTCGCCGGGCCGCTGGTGGGGGAGCGAAGAACGACACGAACATAAAAACTCGGAGCTCCGCGCGGATTTCTCGGATCCGCGCTGGACCCCCCCTCTGGGCATTTTCTTCAGGTGGAGGGCTCAGGGTGAAATCCATATGGGCTTTCGCACCTCGAAAATCAATCCGTCTTGTGATTCACCTTTTACAGATTCAAGCTGCGAACATCCATCGAAACGGCATTTCAGATTTCACCCTCTGCCCTCCACCCGAAGAACATGCTCGGTCCCTGGCGCGCGGAACCGTGTTTGACTATTGGCATTTTTCGCTGCCAGGGAGGGGGCTCCAGCGCGGATCCGAGAAATCCGCGCGGACCTCCGGGCTTTTATGCTTCTGCCATTCTGCGCTCTCCCAGCCGGGGCCGCTGGCGCCTGGCGCCCGGCCTGGCCCCTGCTCCGAGCCGCCCCCGCAGGCGAGCGGCTCCGGCCGCGGAGCGAGCCTCGGGTCGGGCGCAGTCTTCCAGAGCACCCCGCGCTGTGGGATGGTATCGCGCCGCATCTCGGGGGCGGCCAAGAGGGGGGCGTCCAAGAGGGGGGCGGCGCAAATCATGGCCAACGGCACGTGCTCGGCCCAGCGGTGGGCCAGGGAGCGCGTTGAAAGGATGAGGGGCCATGAAATCCGGGGAGATGTTATGGCCCCCGCCATGATATACCCCCCCCTCCCTAGTCATCACCCCCCTCTTGGTCGCTCCCGAGCATCGCCGATGCGGCTCAATGTAGGCCCGGTTTTCTCCACGTCGATGGCGCCGATGCATCGCCGACGTCGCCGATACATCGGTGATGTCGGCACGATCCTCCGACCCCATCCGCTCGGACCCCATCTGGGAGGCCTCTGGCATCATGGGCGGAGCCATGCTGTCTCTCAGAACCCCTCGAGTCGAGAAAAAACACGACGGAACATTTTTCGCTACTTTCTGTCTCTGGGGGCCCTCGCCGGGCCCCGGGGCCGTCGACAAACGGCTCTCGGGATGAAAGGCCAGCCCCTGGGGAATGTGTCGAGACCTCCGGGGGTCCACGGCATGAAAATCATGGCGTCGGGGGTAGGAGGAGAGGGATGAGCGGAAAAAACACTACAAATTCGGAAGAAAAGCATGGGCAGGCCTGGGCCAAACCAAATCGCGAGATCCAAATCGCGAGATCGGATCGGATCAGGAACGGATCAGGTCGAGAACTTTTGTGGGGGTCAACGTCGCGCAAGGCCTGCGAATCAGCTCACGTGGCTCGGGGGTCAGTTGAGGTGCCACTGGCCCAAGGTACCCTCAGCTTTTCGCTCAGTGCTGGAGCCCCTGGGGCCCCCTGGGCCTCGTGAGGGATGCTCTGGAGGCGTGGGGCCTCCTGAGAAATCCTGGTGGCACCTTGGGCCCGGGGCACTTCTAGCAGCCCCCGGGGAGGGGGGCGCTGCGCATGGGCTCGCGCCGCCAGCTTCCCTCGCGCCTTTGAGAGCGCCCTGTGCGCCAGGGGCGCGCCGAGGAGACGCGTGCAGCGGGCGTCGTGCCCCCCCCCCGCTTCGCCTCTCCGGCGCCGAAACGCAAGCGGGGTGCAAGGGGGGAATCTCGGGAGCGGCCAAGAAGGGGGTGTCCAGGAGGGGGGGGTGCAAATCATGGCCTGCGGCACGTGCGCGGCCCAGCGGGGGGCCAGGGACGCAATGAAACAAGAAGGGGCGCCATGAGATCTGGGGAGATCTCATGGCCCCCGCCATGATACCCCCCCCTCCCTAGTCGTCACCCCCCTCTTTTTTCCGCCCCCAAGAATCGGTCCCTGGTCCTTTCTCGGGATGGAAACTAACCAGTTTTTCGCGCCGCGGTTAGCCGTGACGACGAGGGGGTCCCTTCTCTCCCTGGAAGGCGGCACCGACACCGAAGCAGGGGGAGGCCTCCACGGGGCAAAATGGTCCTGGTGATGATCTCTCGGCCACCTGAGACGCCCGACTCGCACCACCGTCACCGAGATCGGGACCACCTGCCCGCGCTGGAGGCATCCACTGATACTGGTATTGGTGCCAAACTCCAGAACATCGAGATGCTGCGAACGCGCGCACGATCGCGACCCTTCCGAATGGCGCTGTGGGCGGCGCATGGCCGCGGGTACCGCTCGTGCGCACACGTAGCAGCAAATAGCGCGACGACGCTGAGGCCGAATCGTTGTTGGTACGGGGCGGAAGCCGTTGCCTGAATTCTCAATCGGCAGGCACAGCGCCAGACATCCACCGTTCTGATGTTTTTGTCAATCCGCGGCCCCAGGGGCTCCCGACTGCTTCACTGGACAGGCAGCTTCTCGCCCCGGAGGCTCCAATCGCGGGCCCGGAACCGACAATCAAAAAACGCCAAAATGAACATGACAAAACATCTTGTACATTGGTTTATATATCTAACTATATATATATATATATGTATAACCGCTACTCCGTGGACCACTCACGAGGTGCATTTGAGAAGACAGCCGTGACGACGAGTGCTCTCCACGAGGACAAACGGCGTCGGTATCTCTTCCTCTTCTGCCAGCTTCGAACAATTGTGTGCCAATGTCCCCCCCTGGCCCTGCGTTCCGACGTTGCGAAAAATACAACATCGCGAAACACCAAGAGCCCTAGAGCCCCGCTGGCACTGCGTTCCGACGTGGCGAAACAATGCAGCATCGCGAAACATCGAGGAGCCCTAGACCCCATTCCCCAGAGCCATTCGACAAACCGGAACGATATGCCAGAGTCCGAGGTCCCGCGACCAAGCGAACATGCCTGGTTCGGGAAAACTGAGACGCCGAAATGCAAGGAGGAGGAGGAGGAAGAGGAGGAGGAGGAGAAGAAGGAAGAGGAAGAGGAGGAGGACAAGGAGGAAGAGGAGGAGGAGGAGGAGGGAAGGAGGAAGAGGCGGAGGAGGGAAGGAGGAGAAGGAGGATGAGGAGGGAAGGAGGAGGAGGAGGAGGAGGGAGGAGGAGGAGAGGAGGAGGGGGAGGAGGAGGAGGAGGAGGAGAGGAGGAGGAGGAGGAGGAGGAGGAGGAGGAGCAGGAGGAGTAGGAGGAGGAGGAGGAGGAAAAGATAAGGGGCACGTGTGGTTAGTGGGGCGGGGCGACGGGGGGCTGGACTCAGGCCAGCGCGGTCGCGGGCCCGCGCCGCGCTGCTCGAGCCGGGCCGCTCCCGGCGCGGCGAGGCGACGGCGCGGGCTTTGAGCAGAGGCAGCGCGACGCCGCGCACGAGCGCGGCGTCCGGCTGGGCGCGCCAGCTGTGCAGCGGGCGGCCAGGCAGGCGGCCTCAGCGGTGGGCGCGCCCGGTGCAGGCCGCCGCGCAGCGTTCCACCAGCGCCTCCGCCCGCGCGCCGAGCCTGCCGAAGGTCTCGCGCGCGGCGGGCCAGACTGAACTGCCCTGGGCCGGCGGGCAACGGTCGTCGCTCTCGGTCTCGGCGGCGCGCGCCGCGCACCCCGTTTTCCGAGATGCGCCCTGCTGCTGGGCCGCAGACGCCGGGTGCCTGACCGCGACGCCCGCAAGGCAGTCCTAGACTTCTGGGAAGCCGCGCGCCCAGACGTCCTGCAATGCCTCGGCGCTGCTGATGGAGAATTCGGGAGACGAGGAGCTCGCGGCGGAAGCGCCCGCCGACCTCCGCTAGAACATCGGCGCACACGTCCGCCAAGTCGTTGTGCCGCCGCGCTCGGGAGGAGCCGCGCTCGCGCGCGGCGGCGTGATCGCTGCGCGCGTTCGACTGCTCGAGGCGCAGATCCTGCGCGGACGTCTCCTCGATGGGACACTGCGCGCCGGGAGTGCAGGGCGAGGGGGTGCCTCGGTTGAAGCGCGCGGCTTCGACCCGCCCCCAGTCTGCGCGAGGGCGACCGCGGCCGCCTCGCCGCCGCCGACGGCCCAGGGCGCGACCTCTGGGCGCAGTGCAGGGCCGTGCCCAGCGAGCCTCGCCGCGCGCGCCGGCGGGGCGATCCGCGAGGGCAGGTCCAACTTGCAAGCCAGCGGACTGGACTGGCAGACTGGTCTGCGGGAGCTCCGCATCGGCGAGCTGGTCGAGGCGCAGGGCAATCGATGCCGCGAACTCGCGCAACGCCTCGTCGCGCAAAATGGGGCGGATGCTCTCGCGCAGCGCCGCCCCGTAAAACGGCTGGGCGAGCGCCCCAGACCAAAGACTCGCAGGCCGCGGGCCGATGGCGCCCAGGGTCCAGCAGGAGCACCGCTCAGCCACGACGCGCGGGCCATCGAGGTCGGAGTAGAGGCGCCAGGCGCGGCCGTTGCGCCAGCCGCTGGGCCCGCCCCCAGCAGCCCGCTCGATGGCGGCGCCCTGGCGGCCGACATGCTGCAGCGTGACCTTCGAACGCTTCTGTACGGGCATGGCATCCGCTTGAGCGAGCGCCCGCCGCAACTCGACCTCGCCCTCCGGTTCGAAGGGCGCGGCATGAAATAGCGCCTGCACGCCGTCGTCTGCAGCGCGCCCAAGGGGGGCCAGAGGACCGCCGACCAAGAATGTCCCGCCCCACTCGCGCGCTGTCGCGGCGCATCTACCGGGTGGCCGCCTGGGCTGTAGGAGGCTCGGCATCGCGAGACGACGGTGCGGCGCGGGGCGGGCGCGCTCCTCTTCAAGCAAGTCCTTGACAAGCATGGCCCAGTCACGTCCGATCGCAGACCTTGACGCGGGCGCGGAGGACGGCGCTCGACCCGGCCAAGATGGGCAGTCCCAACTCGCCAGGGCATCCGGGCGCTGCATCGTCCAGCGGCGCGCGGAGGAGGAGCTGCGGGACCGCTCTGCACAGCCAGCATGCCGCGACCTCGACCCCAACGCCCCCTGCCTCTGCACCAGCGCGGGCCGTCGCGTCGACGAGGAACGCCGAAAAGACATTCGCGACCTGCGGGAGCGCGGCATCCCAAACCGCGGCGCCCGCGGGAAGAAGCTGCCGCGGGAGGTGCAGCAAGGCAGAATCGCCCGCAGCCCCAGCAGGCACTTCGACAGCATCAGCTCCCACATCGGCGTCGTGGGCGGCGCAATCCACGACCGCGGCGATCGCCTCGGCGGCAGCGTCCGGCGGCGAAGCAGTAGCTGGGCCCCCGAGGGGCCGCGGGGCTGGCGGGTCGGCGGCGGGGTGGCCCTGGGCGGGGCGCGCGGCCAGGAGCCGCGCATCGCCGGCCGGCTCGGCGACGCCGGGCTGTCCACAGGCAGGCCACTGCCCTGCACGCAGGCACGCGGAATAGCATCCAGAGCATAGGCCTCGGCCGCACGCCCCGCAACGAGACAGTGGAGGCGACGAGGCGGCCGATGTTGCCATGGCGCCCCCGCCGGCGGCCTGGCCCACCACCCTCCAGCATCTTGCGGCGCGAGCAGCATACCTCGGGCCACTTCGTGGGCGTCTTCCGCATGAGGCCGCCGAAGGAGGCGCCGCGCGCGGGCGGCGCGAGCGGCAGCGGGGGGACGTCCAGGAGCGGCGGGCGCAGGCCAGCCACAGCCGCGCCCGCGCCGGGGCGGGGTGCACGGGGGCACTTCGAACTCAGGGCGGGCTTCGAAAAAGGGGTTTGGGGTCCAGCTCGCCGTTCGCCCCCCCTGCCGCCACCACCACCGCCGCCCGCGCCTCTCCGGGGCAACAGCGGCCACCGCTGGCGCGAGCCGCCCGTCATCCAAAGGCGGGCCCGCTGCCGCTGGCCCAGACGCGGGCGGCGACCGCAGCGCGGCACCCGCAACGGGCTCAGCCGAGGATGGGCTCGCAATCCCCGAAACGCGGCTGCCCTCTCCAGCAGGCCCCCGTCCGCTGGGCCGCTGTCCGTTCCTGGAAGTTGCGGCGCTCCTTGCGGAGGGCCTCCAGGCGAGGCGTTTCCCCTCCAGCATCGCCAGCATAGCCCGCCCCCTCCTGTCCCAGCCGCGTGGCCGATGCTCCGCCCCTGCCGAGTGCGGTTCCTCTGGGGGTGGCAGGCGGGCTGCCCGCTGGCGTCACTAAGTCGCCTTCCCCAACGATTTCGTCGGCGGCTCCGCCGCCACCTCCTCCTCCTCCTCCTCCTCCTCCTCCTCCTCCTCCTCCTCTTTTCCTCCTCCTCCTCACCCTCGCCCTCGCCCTCGCCCTCGTCCTCGTCTTCGTCCTCGCCCTCGCCCTCGTCCTCGTCCTCGTCCTCGTCCTCCTCCTCGTCGTCATCGTCCTCCTCCTCCTCCTCCTTTTCCTTTTCCTCCTCCTCCTCCTCCTCCTCCTCCTCCTCCTCCTCCTCCTCCTCCTCCTCCCCCTCGTCCTCCTCCAGCCCCCACGCACCCAACGACGCCTCCTGCAGCCCCCTCGCCCGCGACGCCGGCAGCTAGTGGGCCGCTCAGGGCGTCGGAGGCTGCCTCGATGGAGGGCTGGGCCCCGATGGTGCCCTGGAGCCGAGCCCAGTCGGGCGGGCGGGGGTGCGGGTGGACCCCCTCCCCCGACGGGTCCCGCACCCGGCCTCCAAGGGAGGCGGCGCCCCTCCGGCGGTCCAGCTCACTGGCGCGTCCCGTGGTGAGCCGCGCGACACAGAGCCAGCCAGGAGCGAATGGCAGCCGGCGAACCCGTGAAGGTGCTGGCGGCCTCTTCGACCGCGGCTGGGCCCACGGCCTCGACGCAGTCGGCGCTCTCCGCGAGGTGGGCGGCCCGAGCTCGGGGCGCTGGCGGGCTCCGGTCCGCCCAGGCCGTGCCCCCGAAGAAGCCGAGGGGCGCGCGGCCGCAGCAGCAGCAGCAGCAGGCCACCATGAAGCTGGTGGTGACGACGAAGCCGACGGCGACTGCGACGCGGACGTGGGCCTTCCGGCGGAGGAGGCGCAGGGCCCCTCCGTCGCCGGACTCCGCCATCCAGGAGGCCGCCGCCCCGACCGCGGCAAAGGCCGCAGCTGCACCCGCAGCGCCCGCCGAGGCGCCCGCCTCCGCTGCCGCTTCGCGAATGCGCGGGTCTTGGGCGGCCTGGAAGGCCCGCCGGGCGGCCAACGCGAAGGCCATCGGGCGCGCCCGGAGTGGGGGGGAGGAGGAAGAGGAGGATGAAGAGGAGGAGGAGGAAGAAGAGGAAGACCAGCGCAAACCCAAGACCCATCCACGATGTTGCAATACACCCTCCCTCCAAATTCTCTCTTCACCCTCTTCATGGGTCCCTACACGGGTCGTTACCCCGCTTGAAGACAACCGTCTGAAAATCCTGAAGCGTGCCAGAACACCGCTCTTGGGAGTTCGACGCCGCGAATCAACGCTACTGTTGCGTTCGGACGATCCTGCATCTCGCCAGAATGCCATTCCTGGGACTCCAACCGCGCGAAATCAACGCAACGGTTGCGCGCTGACAGTCCTACATGGTGACAACAGACCATGTCTGGGACGCCAACCATCAGAATCATTGCAAATATTGTAGAAACTTGAAACGAACGTCCGCGCCGCTACGGCGAGAGCAACATTTTGAAAACACACCGCCATCCAGTCGTGAAACTCTTTCAAATTTTACGGCTACGGCGTGCGCGGCGCTACTGCGAGAATCACATTTTGAAAACGACCCGCCCTCCATCCGCGCAACTAAGTCCAAACTGCTGAAACGAATGTGCGCGCCACTGAAGCGAGAACCGCATTCTGAAAAACCACCAGCCCTCCATCCGTGAGACTGTTGCACGTCTGATGGTTAGTGATCGTAAATGGTGAGGGGATCTCAGGCGACCCCCCAGTCCGCCCTACCAACACGTCTCGAGTTGCGACAGGGAAAATAACCTATAAGAAGAAGGGGTGGAGGAGGAGGAGGAGGAGGAGGAGGAGGAGGAGGAGGAGGAGGAGGAGGAAGAGGCGGAGAGGAAGGAGGAGGAGGAGGAGGAGGAGGAGGAGGAGGAGGAGGAGGAGGAGGAGGAGAGGAAGGAGGAGGAGGAGGAGGAGGAGGAGGAGCAGGAGGAGGAGAAAGAGGAAAGCGGAGTGATCCGTTCGCCGCTCGTGTGCACCCTCGCGCGCGCCGCCCACGAGGTTCGGCCCCCGGAAGGGCCGGAAGGAGGCGGTGGCTATCCGCAGCAAGACCGCGTCGGGAACGCCTGGGAGCTCGGCCGGGTCGTCCGAGGCGGCGAGTCGCCGCCGCACCTCGCCGAGGTCCGGCACGAAGCCCGCGGCCTCGCGGAGAGAGCAGCGTGGGACGCACAGAGACTTTTGATCCGCGGGTCGAGAGCGCACCTCTTCCGGTCGAAGCTAAGCAGGCCGCGCGAAGCTTGAATTAGGCGGAGAAGAGGAGGGAGGAAGCGGCGGAGCCTCAGAGCGAGGCCGAGAGGAGGAATAGCCTCGGATACCGGGACGCACAGAGACAAACTAGTACTACATGCCTCCTTGGAGGCGCGCGTCCAACCTTCTTCGGCTACACGCAGGAGTGACCCTGGGTAAGAGTGACCTTTGGTGCGCGGCTTTTTTGGGGCCGCGGGGGACCAAACCCTGCCTCATGCTCAGCCATCCGGGGACCCATCTGTGCCCGCACCAAAGGTCACTCCGGCGAAAGGTCACTCTCACGTCTGGTCGACTTCTTCGACCTCCTCCGGCTCCCGGCGTCCCTTCGTGGCGGTCTTGCCCCTCGGGTGCGCCGGTCTCTCTGCTCCCCTGGCTCCTCTCCCGCGGGCCCCCTGCTCGCGGGCTGGGCTGTCGCCCCAGGCTTCGGTCGGGCATGTCCCCCTAATTACAAGGGGGATGTTGGACGAAACGTTCAAAGATAGTAAACAAAAATTATCCCAGTGCGACCCTACCTAGGAGTTGGAGCCCCTAGGAAAGCAGCATTAGTAGTAACAGTAAAGCTAAGCTACAGCTAAGCTACAGCTAAGCTAAAGCTAAGATAAAGCTAAGCTAAAGCTAAGCTAAAGCTAAGCTAAAGCTAAGCTAAAGCTAAGCTAAAGCTAAGATAAAGCTAAGCTAAAGCTAAGCTAAAGCTAAAGCTAAGCTAAAGCTGAGCTACAGCTGAGCTACAGCTAAGCTAAAGCTAAGGCTAACACTAAGCTGAAACTAAGCTAAAGCTAAGCTAAAGCTGAGCTAACGCTAAGCTAACGCTAAGCTGAAGCTAAGCTAAAGCTAAGCCAACGCTAAACTAAAGCTAAGCTACAGCTAGTTAAAGCTAAGCTAAGCTAAGTTAATGCTAAGTTAAAGCTAAGCTAAAGCTAAGCTAAAGCTAAGCTAACTTTAAGATAAAGCTAAGCTAAAGATAAGCTAAAGAAGCTAAGCTAAAGCTAAACTAAAGCTAAAGCTAAAGCTAAAGCTAAAGCTAAAGCTCCCAGGGGACTGGGGGAACCGCGGGGCGGGGACTGGGGGAACCACCCGCGGCGCTTTCCACTGCCCGTCCCCTTTACTACATGCTATGCTATGCTATGCTATGCTATGCTAGGGTACGCTCGGCTGCGCTGTGTTATGCTAGGCTATGCTATGCTATGATATGCTGCGCTATGCTATGCTATGCCATGATATGCCATGCTGCGCTATGCTATGCTATGTTATGCTGCGCTATGCTATGCTATGATATGAAATGCTATGATGCGCTATGCTATGTTATGATATGCTATGCTATGATATGTTATGCTGCGCTATGCTATGCCATGTTATGCTGTGCTGTGCTGTGCTATGATATGCTGCGCTATGCTATGTTAAGCAATGTTATGCTATGATATGCTATGATGCGCTATGCTATGACATGGTTTGCTGAGCTATGACATGATATGCTATGCTATGTTTGGCTATGCTATGCTATGCTATGCTGTACTAATGCTGCGCTGCGCTATGCTGCGCTGTGATAAGCTAAGGTAGGCTAAGCTATGCTAGGCTAAGCTAAGTAAAGCCAAGCTAGGCTAGGCTAAGCTAAACCCAGCAAAGCTAAGCTAAGCCAAACTAAGCTAAGCTAAGCTAGGCTAGGCAAAGCTAAGCTAAGCTAAGCTAAGCTAAGCTAGGCTAGGCTAGGCAAAGCTAAGCTGAACTAAGCTAAGCTAAGCTAAGATGAGATAAGCTAATATAAGCTAAGCTAAGGTAAGCTAAGGTAAGCTAAGCTAGGGGAAACCAGGGGGCGCAACTGGGGGAACCGCGGGGCGGGGACTGGGGGAACCGCCCGGGGCGCTTTCCACTGCCCGGCCCCTTTAAGCTGGAGAGTAAGAACCCTTCTAGGCAGAGCCTAGGTAGGGAAAACATCGTCCCCATACTTTTTCAACAACTATTTTCGAAGATTCCTCCTGTGGAGGGACAGGCCCGACTTAAAACCCCAGGCCGCTCCTTGCCTGGGCGCCGTTCGCCCCTCCGCGTGCGTGATCCCTGTTCCGCATCCCCACGTTCGGGGGGTCCGCGCGCGCGCTTGTCCCGTGCCGCCGCTGGGCCCCCCCTGATGGGCAAATCCTCCACCACCGCTGCCATATGTAGGACGGGGGAGAAGGGAGGATGAGGCCTTCCTCCTCCTCCTCCTCCTCCTCCTCCTCCTCCTCCTCCTCCTCCTCCCTCTCCTATGATAGTGGTGGTGGAAAATGGGCCCATCCACCTCCGTCCCCGCACCCCTGCTGCCAGACCGGGGGGCGGGGGAGCGGGTTCCAGTGTGCGCGGGCGTGAGAAATCTGCACGGAGCTCCGAGAAGCTCGCGGTGACGCCTGGAGAGTGACCGGGGGAGAGCTGCGCTGGATAGGGCCGGAGAGAAGCGTGCCGGATTGGGCTGAATCGGAACAGGAGGGGCCGGATGGGCTGGATGGCTGGATTGCTGGGTGGCCTGGATGGGCTGGGAAGTTGGTCTGGATGGTCTGGATGGGCTGGATGGCTTGGATGGTCTGGATGGCCTGCACTGGAATCGGATGGGCTGGATGGCTGCATGGCTGGGCTGGAAAATCGGGCCGGATGGCCTGGGAGGGCTGCGATGGATGGGCTGAATCGGTCCAAGGAGGGGGGGGGGGAAACAAATCCGCTCCAAATAAATCCCCGGACCTGTCCCAGGATAAAACTGACCAGTTTTTCGAGCCGCGTCCACCCGTGGCGACGAGCGGGTCCCTTTCTCCCCCTTGGGAAGGCAGCACCAACTCCAAGCCAGGGGGGGGGGCTCCACGAGGGAAGATGATCCAGGATTCTGGTGCCGGAGGTGCTCTTCCGGCCACCTACGAAGCCCGAACAGCACGACCGTCACCGAGATCGGGATCGTCTCCCCTCGGAGGAGGCAAGCGTCGACACCAGTGCTGGTGTGGGCCTCCAGGCCCCCGAGAAGCCGCATCTATTGCCCCATCGATGGGATCGAGCGTCGATCGTCGACTTGACGCGGGCGGCGATCGCCGAACCTCTTGCCCCGTCGAGCCTTGGCGGCGGCCGTCTGCGCCACCATGGCCGCCTGCTGCGAGGCCCTCATCTCCGAGCGGGCCGCGGCGAGCTCCTCCGTGGCCCTCCGCAGCCGCTGGTGCAGGGAGACCACCTCCTGGCGGGCCTCCTCCGCGCCGTCCTGAGCGGCGGGCGTGGGGGCACGCAGTCCAGCGATCGAGCAGCGCTGGACTTAGGTCGGGCATGTCCCCCTACAGGCGGATTTCGGGCGAGAAATGGAAAGTAGTGAAAACCTTCAAAAAACAAAATAGTACAAAAGTCGTCCCCGTACTATTGTTCGACTATGTTCGAGGATTCCCCCTGTAGAAGGGGCAGGCGCGACTTAACGCTAGACAAACAAAAAATGCATCACGCAGCACCCGGCAGCTGCGGAGAAGAGTGATGGGGCGGGCGGCGGGGACGTCGGCGGTCTGCGAGGCTCTGAGGAAGCTCGCCGCTGGCGCCAAATCTTACATCGTGCACTCTGTGTCCCTCAATAGTTTTGGGGCCCCGGACTACAGGTACCCCCCGGACTACAAGTACCCCTCCCCCGGACTACAGCCCCCCCCCCCGGACTACAGGTACCCCCCCCCGGACTACCCCCCCCCCGGACTACAAGTACCCCCCCGGACTACAGGTACCCCCCCCCGGACTACAGGTACCCCCCTAGCCCCCGGAACTACAAGCCCCCCGGACTACAAGTACCCCCTCCCCCCGGACTACACCCCCCCCGGACTACAAGTACCCCCCCCCCCGGACTACAGGTACCCCCCCCGGACCACACGTACCCCCTCCCCAGACTATAGGTACCCCCCCCCCGGACTACAGGTACCCCCAGAACTATTGAGGGACACAGAGTACAGCGAGCCCGCCGCAGGCGCCGATTTTGCTATGAAGCGATGTGGGTTGGTCGCGGGTGGGTCGAGGGGAGGGTCGCGGGTGGGTCGCGGGTGGGTCGCGGGGTGGGTCGCGGGTTGGACGCGGAGTGGGTCGTGGGTGGGTCGCGGGTGGGTCGCGGGCCGAGTCGCGGGTGGGACGAAATCGACGACAACAAAGAACAACAATAACACCACCAACAACACCACCATCAACAACACCACCACCAACAACAACAGCAACATCAATAATCATGTTGCCCTCATGCGCGATGCTTCCACACGCAGCATGCGACCATCATGATAATCATCCCCATCATGGGGGATGATTGGTCTATCGCGGGGGTCCGATATTCCCATTCCCAGATCTCCCGCCCAATGAGGTCTTGCAACCACCTCCTTCGAAGAATTTCAACATATCCCGCCTCGGAAACACATGCCCGCGCCCTGCTGCGCCGATGCGAGACCGCCAGTGGAGCCCCAGCCAAGGGTAAAGCACAAGGAAGTATCGAACGACAGGATTGGCTTGGTGGGGATGGGGGCTGTCGGCGGCGAGGCAAGGACCTGGCCCTGAATAAAAAGGGAAGAAGTCTCGAGCAGGGGTGCTGTTGCTGCTGTGAGCGGCGCCAACGCAGAAGACTGTAGGGCGCTAGTCCAGCGTGAAACAACATGAACTCTCGAGCGGGAGCGCTGGTTTTGTTGGGACGGTGGTTGTCGGCGGCCAAGAAGAACACCGCCTTGAATAAGAAAGGGGGAAGTCTCGAGCGGGAGCCGCGGTTTTGTCGGGACGGGGGCTTTCGGCGGCGAGGAACAGCACCGTCTTCAGGAACAACGGACGAAGCCTCGAGCGGGAGCGTTGTTCTTGCTGGGGGCAGCGCCAATTCAAGATAGATTTGGGCGCCAGTCTAGCGTATCTCGGGAGGGAGCGCTGGTTTTGTTGGGGTGGCGGTTTTCGGCGGCGAACAAAAGCACCGGCTCTGAACAAAAAAGGAGGAAGTCTCGAGCGAGAGCGTGGTTCTTGCTGGGGGCGGCGCCGATGAGAGAAATAATAGCGCGCCAGCCCAAGGTAAAACGGGAAGAAATCTCGAGCGGGAGCGTTGGTTTTGTTGGGGCGGCGGTTTTCGGCGGCGAGCAAGAGCACCGACCGGGAACGTTGTTGTTGTTGTTGAACATTATTTATTCTAAAGAATAATTATTGTTGGGCCCCCTGGTGCGCGCCCCCCCTGCGCCGCCTAGGCCGCAGCTACATTTTCATCACTTTCGTGAGGAAGCCTAAGAAAAGAGGGTGTGTACAGGATCCGGTTGTTTTGTTGTAATCCGCTTTCCCTTGCAAAAAAACAATAGAAAATGACATTTCATGTTCTAATATAATCAAATTTCAAGAATCCCTTGCAAAAAATAAGGTAAAGTGGACATTCGCGCGCGCAAGACGAAATCCTTCCAAAACCTTAGTGTTCGCAGCGATTTTTACATAAAAACATCAAAAAACCAATGGTTTTTCAACAAAAAACTGTCAAAATCTCATCCCGCGCGCTCTTGCGGATTCGTAGGAAACCCAACACTTTTTAAAACATTTCTGTCAAACGGGCTTTTGCGAGCAACTTTTTCGAACTTCTGCAACAACGGTTGCGCACCTGCCAGGGCCATCATCCCTGTCAAATAATACCATGCGGGACACATTCGTTTTTTCTTCGCGCGCGCACGCCGTCGTCGTCGGCCGCGGGGCCCTGAATAGTAGCCACGGTCGTCCGCATGCCACGAAGTGAAGTGTCCGAACGTCATAGGGGCGGGAAGCTGGGTGTGGGTGGTGGCGAAGAGTCGTTTGGAAATTTGGTAGAGCTTGAACCGGCCTCCCCACAAAGTGGGGGTATTGCCCGCCTCCTATGAAAACCCTGGCACTGGTGAGAACGGAGTGTCCCCACGTGCTAGTAATTGTTGTTGTTGTTGTTGTTGTTGTTGTTGTTGTTGTTGTTGTTGTTGTTGTTGTTGAACATTATTTATTCTAAAGAATAATTATTGTTGGGCCCCCTGGTGCGCGCCCCCCTGCGCCGCCTAGGCCGCAGCTACATTTTCATCATTTTCGTGAGGAAGCCTCAGAAAAGAGGGTGTGTACAGGATCCGGTTGTTTTGTTGTAATCCGCTTTCCCTTGCAAAAAACAATAGAAAATGACATTTCTTGTTCTAATATAATCAAATTTCAAGAATCCCTTGCAAAACATAAGGTAAAGTGGACATTCGCGCGCGCAAGACGAAATCCTTCCAAAAGCTTAGTGTTCGGAACGATTTCAACATAAAAACATCAAAAAACCAATGGTTTTTCAACAAAAAAATGTCAAAATCTCATCCCGCGCGCTCTTGCGGATTCGTAGGAACCCCAACACTTTTTAAACATTTCTGTCAAACGGGCTTTTGCGAGCAACTTTTTCGAACTTCTGCGACAACGGTTGCGCACCTGCCAGGGCCATCATCCCTGTCAAATAATACCATTCGGGACACATTCGTTTTTTCTTCGCGCGCGCACGCCGTCGTCGTCGGCCGCGGGGCCCTGAATAGTAGCCACGGTCGTCCGCATGCCACGACGCACCTGCCAGGGCCATCATCCCTGTCAAATAATACCATGCGGGACACATTCGTTTTTTCTTCGCGCGCGCACGCCGTCGTCGTCGGCCGCGGGGCCCTGAATAGTAGCCACGGTCGTCCGCATGCCACGAAGTGAAGTGTCCGAACGTCATAGGGCGGGAAGCTGGGTGTGGGTGGTGGCGAAGAGTCGTTTGGAATTTTGGTAGAGCTTGAACCGGCCCCCCCACAAAGTGGGGGTATTGCCCGCTTCCTATGAAAACCCTGGCACTGGTGAGAACGGAGTGTCCCCACGTGCTAGTAATTGAACATTATTAATTCTAAAGAATAATTATTGTTGGGCCCCCTGGTGCACGCCCCCCCCCCCGCGCCTAGGCCGCAGCCACATTTTCATCATTTTCGTGAGGAAGCCTCAGGTAAAGCGATGTGATCCAGATCCGGTTGTTTTGTTGTAATCCGTTTTCCCTTGCAAAAAACACTATAAAATGACATTTCTTGTTCTAACATAACCAAACTTCAAGAATCCCTTGCAAAAAATAAGGTAAAGTGGACATTCGCGCGCGCAAGGCGAAATCCTTCCAAAAGCTTAGTGTTCGGAACGATTTCAACATAAAAACATCAAAAAACCACTGGTTTTTCAACAAAAAAATGTTCAAAATTCTTCATCCCGCGCGCTCTTTGCGGAACGCCAGCCCTTCCTTCCTCAACTTTTTTATACATTTCTGTCAAACGGGCTTTTGCGAACAACTTTTTCGAACTTCTGCGACCAACGGTTGCGCACCTGCCGGGCATTCATCCCTGTCAAAAAATCCCTGCGGGACACATTCGGTTTTTTCTTCGCGCGCGCACCGCCGTCGTCGTCGGCCGCGGGGCCCTGCATGTAGCCAAAGTCGTTCCGCAGGCACGAAGTGAAGTGTCGAACGTCATAGGGCGGGAAGAGGGTTGTGGGTGGTGGCGAAGAGTCGTTTTTGGACACATTAGGTTGAGCTTTTGAACCGGCCCCCCCACAAAGTTGGGGGTTTTTGCCCGCCTCCTATGAAAACCCTGGCTCTGGTGAGAACGGAGTGTCCCCAGTCTTAAATGATTGTTGTTGTTGTTGTTGTTGTTGTTGTTGTTGTTGTTGTTTTGGGGCCGGTTTTGGCGCCCCCAAACCGCTCGAGCGTGAGCCTCATTGTCAATGGAAACTTGGCCGGCACCGAGGCGAGAGCGCCAGGGCGCCTGGGGGGTCCAACAATAATAACCGTTTAGTAATTAACATTCAACAGCAACGGCAACAACAACAGTAACAGCAACAACAACAGCAACAACACCAACACCAACACCAACAACAACACCAACACCGACAGCAACACCACCACCACCAACAACACAACCACCACCACCACCTACCACCACCACCTACCCAACACCCACCAACAACAACAATCATGTTAAGACTGTTCGCCCTCATCTGCTCGAGTGTCGAATAGCGCGAATTGTCCAAACCCTCGATACCAGCCCTTTTCGTCTTCGATCGAACCCCTTTTGGGGGGTATACCTTTCTTCCCTGCAGGCCGGGCCCCGGCAAGCGGCGGGGCGGCCGCGGACCGTCGGCCTGACCAGCGGCAGCGCTGATCGGCGGGGCGGCCGCGGACCGTCGACCCGACCCCCAGAGGGACGGACAGGGGACCGACCACGACGACGACGACGA